TGGTTGTGTGGAGACTTAGTCACTAAACAGAATCCTTGTTATACTCCAGTTTCTGGACTGAAATGGAGAGTTTTTTTCCCCTCCCCCAAATATCGAGGGGAATTTTCCAAGTCAAGTCAACATCTGTTATTAAGAGCATTTTTTAAAGTTCCCACTTTGCACTAGGCAGAGGATGCACAAAGGAAGACAAGAGAAGAGAGAGTCTCTGCCCTCAGGGACTCCTTGGTTAGGGAAGACAGGACATGCATAGAGCTAAAGGCTGAAAAAGGGACATATGAGCACAGCAAAATAATTGCTGGATGAACCAGGTGAGGAAGGGAGTAATCAGAGAAGAACAGAATCAACCGAGGAAAGCTTTCTGGAAGGGATAAACTGTATTTGTCAGACCTGTTTCCCCAACTAGATCATAAATTAATAATCAGAGTTATGAGAGCTAGGAGCGACCTTAGAACAGAATGTCAGAGCTGGAAAGAGGCCTTAGAATATTGACTCCTGGAGTTGTGAGAGACCTTAGAACACAGAATGCTACAGCTTGGAGGCTCCTGAGAACACACAAATGTAGAAGCTGAGAAAGACCTTAGAAACCATCCAGTCTGACTTCATTCTAACACGGAATGTCAGACAGAGCTGGGAAGAACCTTGGAATACAGCATGGGAAATGGAAGGGATCTCAGAACATAGGATTTTAGGGTGAGAGAGGGTAAACCTTAGAAGAGAGAATTTGAGAGCTAGAAGAGACCTCAGAAGAGAGAATGTCAGAGCTGGGAGGGGCTTTAGAATACAGAATGTGAGAGCTGGGAGGGCCATGACACAGTTTCTCAAGGCTAGGAAGGTCTTCAGAACACAGAATGTGAGAGCTGGGTGGGACCTGAGAACACAGAATATGAGAACTGGGAGGGCCCTTAGAACATAGAATGTCAGAGCTGGGAGGGCCCTTAGAACTTAGAATCTCAGAGCTGAGAAGGACTTTAGACATCATCCCTGTCCAACTTCCTCATTCTACCCATGAGAAAACAGGCCCAGGGTGGGCAGGGGTAGGGAAGTGCTACGCCTGTGGCCATGCAGCAAGTTAGTGGTTGAACCTAGACCTCCCATCTCCTGGCTCTGAGCTCTTTCCACCATGCTACATCCCCCTTTTTTGAGGAGAGTCCCTGTTTCACTAACCACCTTCCCCCTGCCCCACTCTCAAGCACTTCCAAGAACCTGGCCTCCACCTAATGGGACTGAAGCACTAACTGCTACCAGAAAGGCAAACTGGGCTTCTCTGATCGAAGGCTCCTGATTGGTTGTCAGAAGAGAGATCCCAAAGCCTGTCATTACAGGTTTCTCTTCCAGAATCCTGACTTAAAACCAAGTGGGAATAATCACACCTCCTCTCTCCCATTGGGTTGGGCCAGGTTGCTAAAGTCTAGGAAGACAACTCCCCCAGGAAAAGAATTCCAAGTGCTCCATGAGGCATGGGCACCACTAATCAGGAAACATGGTTTTAAGACCTGCTCTGCCCCTAACTGGCTTTGTGGACCTGAGCCTCAGTTTACTCATCCACAAAGTAGGCATAAAATAATCCTGGCCCTACCTATTGAATTCAACAAGCATTTATTAAGCTCCTATTATATAGAGGTAGCTCAGAGGCGAAGTGGATAGAGCACTGGTCACAGAGTCAGGAAGACCCGAGTTCAAACCCTATGTCAGACACTCATTAGCTGGGTGACCTTGGGAAAGTCACTTACCTCTTTCTGCCTGTTTCTTCAATGGTAAAATTGGGATCATAATAGTACCTATCTTCCAGGGTTGTTGAAAGGATCAAATGAGATAATTTTTGTGAAGGCCTTTGCAAACCTAAAAGCATTCGATAAAGGCACTATGCCCTGCACCATGCACTATGCTAGGTGATGGGGGAACACAAGAGAAAACAAGTCAGTCCTGTCCTTGAAGAGTTTACATTCTACTAGGGATATGTGTCTTGTACAAACACAAATAAACATAAGATACATTCAAAATAAATACAAAGTAATTTGAGGCTGGCTCTGAAAGACTTTCTTGAAGGTCCAGAGCTGGGTTCTAGAGCTGAGCCTTGAGGGGAGCCAGGCTTGGAGGACAGCCTGTACAAAGACACTGAGGCAGGAGGTGGAATACTGAGTACAAGGAGGCGTAGTAAACAGAGCTGGTCCTGGAGTCAGGAGGACCTCAGTGCAAATCTGGCCCCAGACACTTACCAGCTATGTGACTCTGGGCAAGTCACTTTACCCTGTTTGCCTCAGTTTCCTCATCTGTAAAATGAGCTGGCGAAGGAAATGACACACCACTCCAGTATCTTTGCCAAGAAAACCCCAAATGGGGTCATGGAGTTGGACATGAATGAAAAATGAGTCAACGATTAGCAAGCAGGCCAGTCTGGCTAGACTGACATGGATGAAGGTAAGGGGAGCACACATTTATTAAGTTTCTACTGTGTGCCAGGCACCTTACACCTATTATCTCATCTGATCATCACCAGGACCATTTTACAGTTAAGGAAACTGAGGCAGACAGAAGTATAGCATCTCAGCTGGAGTCATGCAGATAATAAATGTTTGAGGTAAATGAGTGAATGACTCGGGTCTTCCTGATTCTAGGTCCAGTGTTCTGTCTACTGGGCCACCCTGCTAGGGAAGAAAGATAGGCTTCCATAAGATTGACAAGGGCTTTAATGAAATGCCAAACTGAGGAGTCTGCATTTTATCCTAAAAACAACAGGGAACCACTGAAAGTTCTTGAGCCTGGCAGAGTCTGGTCAGACCTATGTCTGTCTGGAGGAAACAAGATAATCTAAGTCAAATGCTCTGCAACTATAAAGCATCATATAAATTTGTTATGATAGTTATTTTCCCAGCAATGAGAGGCTAGAAGAGGAGGTTTCTCTAGTAGGTTCAAGTAAGGCTAATATGATAAAGTTGATGCTCAAAGTTCTATGGATCGTCCAAACCAACTTGCACCCCACCTTCCTCCTGCTCTAGAATCTGCAAGGGCTCCCCATTGCCTCAAAATTTCAGCTAAAGTCCCACCTTCTGCAAGAAGACCTTCCTTGTCCTCCTTAATCTTAGTGTCTTCTCTCTTAGACCAGCTCTAATTTATCCTGTCTGTAGCTTGTCTGTACATAGCTCTTTACATATCTCCCCCATTAGACTGTAAGTTCCTTGAGGACAGGGACTATATTATTTTTTTGCCTTTCTTTGTATCTCTATTACTTAGTTCAGCGCCTGGCACACAGTAGGAGCTTAATAAATACTTGTTGACTTACCTTTTCAGCCCAGCCACAACCTGGCCCTTAATCCTCAACCTATGTTCCAGCTAGACTGGTGTACTCCAGTGCTACCACATACAATGGGCTCATTCCTGCCACCATATCTTACTTATCTCTTCAAGGCCCAGATCCAAACACATCTCTTCCAGGAAGCCCTCTCATATTCTATAGCCAGGCATCATAGGCCCTTAGAGCCTGTAGGAACCTTAGGAATCATCTGGTCCAATTTCCCTCACTGACAGAGAAACTGAGGCTGAGGAGGAATGACCTACAGCTAAGTGAGAAGCAAGCCAGGGATCCTATTCCATATCCTTTGACTCAATCGGGTGGTCTCTTTTCCACACTACCCAGTTTCAAGCCCCCTCCAAGCCTCAGGGATCCCCACACAACTTAGTACCCATCCTACCCTGTATTGGACTATTCGGTTTCAGATGTATAAAGTTCATCTTCCCAACTAGAACATCGGCTCCCCGTGGGCAAGGGCCCTGTCTTCTTCCCTGGTCTCTCCAACCTGCCCCCATGATTGGGCTGGGCAAAGTAGGGATTTCCTAAGTCCTCAGTGACTTCCCACCCCTTCTATCCTGAGCCTGGCATCAGAGGGTGAGGAATAAAAAAATTCAGCTGGTTTTAATCTCAGTCTGAGGTAAAATGGGATGAGTTAATCCACTGGAGGGCAAAAAAGAACCCAACCCCAAGTCTACCACATTCCAAAGGCCTGCTCGGCATAGCAGCCTACTAAATAAGGGCGAGTCTGGGTAGCTAAGACCGGACTCTGTGATTTTAGATAAGCATTCTTTTTCTTAAGTTTTAATGCCTGTGGAGCTGAATCCTGTGACCTGTTCCTCTCACCCAATTTGGGCACAGGGTTCCCTGAGGGCACCCCCAGGGTGCAGTAGCATTGCCTGGGGGTGGGGCAAAGGGCAGCATCTGCTATGTCTTCCCTATCAGACTAAGGACTCCCTAAGGGTGGAGACTTTGTCCCCCTCCCCACTAGAGCAGGAGCTTCTTGCACGGGCCAAGGGTACTATGTCTCCCCTGTCAGACTGGGGGCTACCCAAGGACATACATCTTTGTGCATCATCTTTGACTTCCTCACTCTCATTCCTTTCCCCATATCCATCCAATCATCTGCCAAGTCTTGGCATAACCATCTTTGTTTTTGTTGCTGTGGCTCAGTCGTGTCTAACTCTTTGTGATCCCTTTTGGGGTTTTCTTGGCAGAGACATTGGAACAGTTTGCTATTTCCTTCTCCAGCTCATTTTACAGATGAGGAAACTGAGGCAAACAGGGTGAAGTGACTTGCCCAGAGTCACACAGCTAGTAAGGTCCCCTTCTGTCCTTTGACACTGCCACTGCCCTGATGTAGCCCCTCCTCATCTCATATCTAGATCCTTACAGTGGCCTGCAGGCTGGTCTCCCTGCTTCAAATCTCTCTACTTAGCTGTCAAACTGATCTTTCTAAAGGATAGGTCTGACCCTGTCACCCCACTATCTGGTCAACTCCATTGGCTCCCCGGCATTTTCAGGCTTGTACAGTCTTCCTTCTACCTTCCCAGTCTTCTAGCACAAGTCATACTTACACTGTCCCCCACATACTCAGTATGTGGGGTATGACCCAGAGACCCCGGCCTCTTGGGGTTCCTCCATCTCACAACTCTGGGCATCTTCAATGGCTGGAGCTTACATCTGGAATTCTCTCCCATCTTTGCCTCCTAAGCTTCCCTGGCTAAAGCCCCATCGATGTTCTGCAAGAAGCCCTTCCTGGTCCCTGTCAATGCCAGACCCTTCTACATACTGATCATCTCCCACAGATTGATCTGTACTGAAGTACCTGCATGCTGCTTCCCCCATTAGACTGGGAGCTCCTTGAAGGTAGGCCTTTCTGGGTATTCCCAATGCAATAAATCTTAGCTGTCTTGACTATTTAGGGAACTGAGAGGCTGGGTCTGCTTTCCCTTCTAGGAACAGCACTGGCCGGGACTGTATCTCCTGTCTCTGCCCTGACTCCCCGAGTCACCAAAATTCAGAATTGGAAAGAACCTTGGAGGCCAGCTAGCCCAACCTACAAAAGAACCAAGCAGCGGTCACACAGCCTTCCCTGGAAGACCTCTAGAGGAGGGAGGGACCCTGCTCCCATTCCACTTCTGGGAAGTTAGTTTTTCCTGACTTCAACCCAAATCTGATCCTTTGTGACTTAAACCCATCAGCATTTATTACCACCTATTATTTGTCAGGCACTGTGGCAGGAGCTGGGGGGTACAAAGAGTCCTTGCCCTCAAGTTCACATTCATGTGTGTGTGTGTGTGTGTGTGTGTGTGTATGTGTGTGTGGAGGACATGTACACATTAACCAATCCATCAGTCAGCAGGCATTTATGAAGCTCCGACCATGTGTCTAGCACCATGCCGGTGCTGGTGACACAGAGAAGGGAAATTAATCCATGCCCTCAAGAGTTGAAGTGTGTGGGGGCAGCTAGGTTAGTTTGGGCAGTTAGGAGGACCTGAGTTCAAATCTGGCCTCAGACACATAATACTTACTAGCTGTGTGACCCTGGGCAAGTCACTCAATTGCTTCCAAAAAAAAAAGAATATATACTGTATAAATCCCAAAATCCACCTACTGCTCCTCCATCTGCCCTTTGGGACCAAACAAAACCAGGCAAATCTCTCCTCTACAGCATCATTCTTCCAATACCTAAAGGCAGCTATTAATGGGAGTCTTCTCCAGGCTAAATGCCCTTGGTGCTTTCGATCTAGGCTCACCTGGCCTGAACTCAAGGCCCATTGCCAACCTGGTCTCCTGTCCCTGGACCTGCACCAGCTTATCAACATCCTTCCTACCACTTGGACTGAACACACTACTCCAGCTGGATGGCTCAGGGGACAGAGTGCTGGGCCTACAGTCAGGAAGGTGGGTACAAATCTGGCCCGAGACACTACCTAGCTGTGTGACCCTGGGTAGGGCACTTGACCGCTGTTGCCTCAGTTTCCCCAACTGTAAGAAAGGGATAATAATAGCACCTGCCTTCCTGAGTTGTTGTGAGGATCAAATGAGATAATACTTGTAAAGTGCTTAGCACGGTGCCTGACACTATATAAACATAAGCCATTATTATTGTTTTGCTGTTATTCGATTTGGTCAGACTAGGGCAGAACACAGAAGGACAGCTTATTTGTTCCTGGAAATGATGGCTGTGGTTCACTGAAACCCCCAGATCTTTTTCATACATGCTGCTACCTAGATATACTTCCTCCATCTCATACTTAGGAAGCTGACAGTTTAAATGTGAGTATGAGACTTTCCATTTATTCCTACTAAATTTTATCTTATGAGATTCGGCCCAGGGTCAAGGACTTCTGTGGTTCCGACTCTTTCATTCACTCTGTTACCCATCCTGCCCAGCTAGGTGTCACCCATTGATTTAATGAATATGGCACCTATGCCTTTATAACCCACATGATTGGTTAAAGGGTTAAGGAGCACACACAGGACCAAATGCAGATCCCAAAGGCTTCCACTGGAGACTTTCTTCTCAGATTTGGTTCTAGTCATACAAGCACCGAGTTCCACGTCATGTGGATGCTACATTTCACAAATCTGACCCTGAAATGCAGTATCCTGCCCAATAAGGTGAGGGGCTGTGAGAGGCTGAGAGGTAATAAGGGCCAGACTATGAAAGGGGTTATAAGAAGCCACAAGATCATGAGTGAGGGGCTGTTAATGGGAGAGGCCAGGAGGAAGTGAGGAGGCACAGAGAATCCACGAGGATGGAAGCAGGAGGACCTGCCGGGGGAGCTGAGTTTAAATTGGCAGTGGCCGAGATGGTGATCAGACATAAGAAGGGACTTCCTCACCATGAGAACATGGCCAATGAGGTAGCAGTGTTTGGATGGAACCTTCTTATTCAGAGACTCAGAGTTGGGGAAGATCACCTCCTAAAAGCCAGAATGATCAGGAGCTGGCTTTGAGGATTGAGTTGGGGGGGGGTGACCTTCAGGAAGGTTTTTCCCTTCTCTTTGACTCTCTCAGTTCTGGCCCTTCCCCATTTTTCCACCTGTACATCCCAGTCTCGATCTCCAAGCTTCAGTCTGGGAGCCATCTCGGGCAGAGACGGTGTTTCTGGCCCCTGCTTTCAGGATGGGGGCCAGGGAAGGTCTGAAAGCCCCTTTTCCATCCTTTCACTGAACTCTAGCATTTAGCCCAGCAGCCAGAGCTCTGAGATTACAGCCAATTTGAAATTCCCGTTTTATTTTTCTGAAGCAACTTCGACCCACTGGATGTGAAAACTGAAAGGGCCCTTGGAACATAGGTCGAGGCTGGAAGTGACTTTAGAACACAGAATGTTAAAGCTGGGAGTAACCTTAGAACACAGGATGTTAGAGATGGGAAGAGAGCCCTTAGAACTGAGTGTGTCAAATCAGGGAGGGGCTTTAGAACAAAAAATAAATATCTCTTAGAACAGATAATGCTCAATCTGGACGGGACCTCAGAGCATGGAATGTTGGAGCCGAAAGAGACTTTAGAACACAGAATGTCACAAATGACATGGACCTCAGAAACTAGGTCGGCGCTGAAAGAGACCGTAAGATATAGAATGTTAATCCTGGAAAGGACCTTAGAACACAGATGGTCAGACCTGAAAGGGGACTCTAAACACAGAATGTTAGCGCTGGAAGGGACCTCAGAACCATCTAATCTGATCGCTTCATTTCACAGAAAAAGAAACTGAGACTCAGAGACTTGCTAAAGGTCACCCAATGACAGAGCACGGAACAGAGCCCAGCTTCCTGATGGCTGGTCCACTACGGCCAACCTCTTTGCTGACATCATTGCCCACTGTGCCCAAGTCCTTTGTTGGTACTCTTACTTCCTCAATTAATTCTCACTTTCCTCTTGCATCTGGAAGCTCTCCCCACCCTCTCAGCTCCTGGGAAAAGCCTTATGAATCCAGACACTAAATCATCCCCATTTCCCAGACCCATACAAACATGGGGAGGCTGCTGGGTTGCTGAGCAATCAGTGCTGTCTATTTCCAGTATGGGGTGGGGAGCAGGGAGAGGATGAACAGGGAGCAGGATGGGGAAGCTGGATGCCGTCCCAGGTGCCCCTGAGCCAGGATCTTCACTGGGCAACTTCCTTATTTGGTTTGACACGCTGTGACTTGCCATGAGGTCAGACACCCCCATATTCCAATAGAAGAGCAGGATCTAACAGACGGGGCTTTCTGATAATTTGACACTTCTGTATTATCTAGGAGTCCTTTCTCTCTCTAAAAGAAGGGTGAAAAGTTGACCTTTTCTAACTCTAAATGAAAACCTCCCCAGCCTGTCTCTGGCCTCTGGTACTAAGGGCTCATTGCCAGTCAGCTGGAGCTCAGTGAACTAAATCTGTGACTGTCCACCCTCTACCTCCTCCCTACCCCCCCCCAAAAAAAAGCCATGTGATAATTCTCAGGCTAAATAGAAATGAATGTTGGATATCTGTGATTCTGGATTATCTGTGCCATGGTCACTCCTCCACTGGTATGGATCATGAGTTGATTGTGGGTGGAATGGTAGGTTTTTGGCTTTTTTTCACCTCACAGGCATTTGGGAATTTGGGAACAATGGGTGGGGCAGTCAGAGCTTGGGAGGGGAGTCTGAGAGGGTATAACTGAAGCTTAAGAGCACCAAATCACTAAGGCCTCTTCTCCCCTTGCTCTAAGCCAGACTCCATGTAGAATCCTACTGAGCAGGAGTAAGCCAAGATGGCTCAACATTGGTCCCACGGTTGTCTTAGATCGTCTAGAGGGAAAAAATCAAAACCCAAACTACCAGAAAGGCAAACTGAGGGAGGAGGGCTAAACAGAAGATAGAGTAGGAGGTTGAGAACAAGGTCAGGCTGGCATCTCCTGGCTCACCTTTGCTCCAAATCCACAGAGAGGGATGTCTGAATTTTGTAAAGCCCCAATGGGAAGCCACTTGGAGGATCACTGTGTGTCCTGCTGGTCACCCAGTGACCACCAGCTCTTAACAGCTGGATATGCCTGTTGTCTGCCCTTGTACAAACAGATGATCCACCTGTCAAATTGTTTCTCTCTCTTCGTCTACGTCTCTTTCTCTCTCCCTCCCTCTCTCACTCTCTGTCTCTCTCATTCACACACATCCACACACACAAGAGAGAGCGAGAGAGCGAGCGAGTGAGCGAGAGACAGAGAAAGAGACAGAGACAGAGAGACTATACTAGACATACCTGTTGATGACTGTCTTTTGTCCTGGTATGGGGTACCTTGGGCCCAGACACTTTATTCTGAGGGTTCTAGGGTAGTATCGTTATGTCCAGGCCGGACTTGTTTTATTTTATAAAATGTACAATTTTCCTCCCTTTTGGGCTTATTTTACTTATTGTTGTTTGTTCTTCAAACCAACAACAAAGTCAGAACAAAAAGCAGAGGGATGATGAAGAGACCGTGATACCATCACCCCTCAAACTTCAGTTTACGATATCCGTAAGCCGTCAGGAATATTGAGAGACAGCAGGACGTTGCTCATACTGTCTGGCCTCTGCTGACTTTGGGTTGAGGGGGCTGGACATTCAAGGCCTGAAAACCCACCTCACCCCAGCTCTCCCCAGCCTGGGCCTTCCAAAGCTGCGCTACCTCTTCCCACACTGCTCTCATCCTAGGACAGTTGCCTGAAGGGCGGGAGGGACACAAAGAAGGTGATGGCTACCTACAGGGTAGGTCTAGGAGATTACTGAGTTGGGGATATCTTGTAATCTTGGCAAGTGGTCCTGCCCCCTATCTAGAGCATTTGGCCTAGTCGTTGGCACTGAGCCCTCCTCTCTGGGACTTACCCTATGTCCCCCTCTTGCTGGCACTTAGCCTATGTCTCCAGTACTGAACTTCCAATCTCAGGTACTCACCCTCCATCACCAACATTTAGTATGAAATCTTGAATACTTAGCTCATCTCAAGGTTGAGAGCTTTAAACATACTTTCGTGGAGCCCAAAGAGCTGATGGGAAATCCTCACTTCCATTGAAAAAACTCTTAGCCATCCCACCCCCATTTAGCCCATGGTCACACCATATTAACTACACACTCAGAATGACCTTTGCTTCACATGGGGATTTATCATAGAAGTGAAGGCACCTTTCAGGTGCTGGAGCTCCCTATGGAGAAGACGGAACCCCAAGCACCAGCAGCCTGGCTCCCAGTCTTAGCGGGATAATCACCTCCCTAACTTCACTCCTCCAACAAGGCTTCCCCCAATCTTCCCTAAGGCCCCTAGCCCCCTTAGCTACTTGTCCCCTTGAGTTCAAGGGCTCAAGCCATTGCTATTCACTCCCAACAAGGAGAGATTCAGCAGGCCTGGGTTCCTCCCAGGGTGGCCCTCAGAGGTCCTCCCTCCCCTGTGCCCTGCCCCACCTCCAACTCACCCTGTTAGAAAACCTCATTGTCCAGTTGGCACTTCAGTTGGCACTACAGGGAGGTGACGGTGAAAGTGTCCTCAGGGTGTGGCTCCCCCATAGGCCCCAGGAAGCTGCTCTTCGGGGCCCCCCCCAGGCCAGGGTGGCCCTGCGGCACAAAGCTGGGGTACCTGTATGTGTCCTGTAACTGCAGCATGGAGTCCCTCGGCACAGGTGACAGGGTCAAGTCACTTAGGAGAGGGCAGCCATAGCCACCTCGGGGGGGACCAGGTGGCCGCACCATCTCCAGTGGTTCCTTGTCCCCCTTGGGCGTGGCCGGGGGGCTGGTGAGGTGTGGGGCATTGAGGCATGAGGCCTCCGTCCTGCCCAGGAAGTCAGCCAGCAGCCCCGACCCAGCCTTGCCCTCGTACGGTGGGCTGCGCGCAGCCGAGCCCGGTGGGTACCAGTAGCTGGCGCCTTTGCAGCTGGGTGAGTCGTAATGGGTCTGGCCAAGGGACAGGTCCCGGCAGCTCAGGTGGGGGGCGTGGCCAAGGCCGGTGCCCTGAAGGCCGTGCTTAAGCGGCTCACAGGCAGGCAGCTTGGCCGGCCGCAGGTCCTCTTTGAAGGCCAGCGTCGGCGAGCAGTTGGGGGAATAGGCCTTCTGGAGGCCTGAATCAAACACTGTCTGTGGGCCCGGTGTGCCCAGAGGGTGGGCAAGGCCGGGGAAATGTTTGCTGTCCAAGTCCGGGGGAGGGCCCAGGCTGGGCGAGTCGCAATGGAACCCTTGCCCGAAGGTGCCATCCGATGGTGTGGATGGGTTCATAGAGTAGGGCCCAATGTAGTCACACTGGTCCCTCTCACCCACCCCAAAGGCCCGAGACTGTGAGGGCAGAGGAGACATACTACTGTCTCCACTATAGTAGTCCAAGCCCAGGTCCGGGCTGTCCTGGAACAGGGGGTTGACTGGCTGTGGCTTGGGGATGAACTTGGCCTTAGCCCCACCACCCCGCTCCTTCTTCCCCGAGCAGGCCCCACCCCCCCGGGCACCCCGGGGCTGCCTTGGTCCAGTGCTCCGCTTGGAAGGATAGGCTGAGGAGGCTGTGGCTGGGGACGAAGAGGAAGAAGAGGAGAAACCCAAGTGGGAGGCCTCAAACAGGTCCACCTTCTTCCGCCGGCCCCGGCCAGGCTTGGAGCTACTCTGGAAAAGGACGGTCTGGTTCCAATTGTAGCCAGGGGCAGATGATGCCTCATTCCAATCCATCATTAACTTCTCCAGGCTCGAGAGGCTGGACTGGCCCTCGCTGGAGGAGGCCTCACTGTTGGCCCGTCGGTAGCCACCCGTAGGCTGGTTGAACTGGGTGCTGTCGGAGGATGATTCGGAGAAGGTCTCAGACACGGCGGTCTGCTGCTTGGCCTTCTGCGGGGTATAGTTGGAGATATCCAGGATCACGTTGGGCTCACTGATGTGACAGTCAAAGCCGGGGTTATAGAGCTGGCTGAAGGCCTCTGAGGTCCAATCCAGGCCTCCATAGCCCTGCCGGAAAGGCCACTGTGACCCTCCTGCGAACTGCCGACAATTCTCGGGTGAAGGCTGGAAGGAGGAGGCAACAGGGGTGGTAGTGCTCTTGGGCACCATGTACCCCCCAGGTGAGACCGTGCTGGCACGGCTGTCACAGCGGAGTGGTGTGGGGGCCGAGCCAGAGAAAGGAGATGCCTCAGAGCTATTAAAGAAGGAGGCTTTGCCCAAGGGCAGGCAGGGGCCTGCTGTGGGCTGGGCATAGCCAGCGCTGTGGGCGCTACTGGGCGAGGCTGGGAGGCTGCTACCGCTGCCATAGGCAAAGCTGCAGTCCTTGCTGTTGGCACAGTCTTGCCCCGAAAAGGGCTTCCCTGGTGGGAACACTCCTTGGCCCGCCCCATAACTGCTATACTGGGGGTAGGTGCCCGCCGGTGGGTGGGCAGTGGGTGAGCGAGCCACAGCTGAGGGTGGCGCCAACTTTGGAAAGGCCTCTGTGGCCCGACAGTCTGATGCAGCTGGGGTCACCCCATAGCCCGCTGCCCTCCCTGGAGGGAAAGCCTGGCGGGCAGGCAGGACTGGCTGGAAGGATGGTTCTGTCCCAGTCCCACCCCCACCAACTGCTGGGTTGGCCTTGGCCCCCCGGCTAGGGAAGGCAGCCAGGCCCCTGCCCTGAGCAGGCAGGGCACTGGTGGGGGGCCCCGTATAGGTGCCTGACGACTTGCGTGACTCAGGCCGAGAAGCCGAAAGGGCAAAGTCCAGCAGGTCCGAGGAGTCATCCGAGTCCAGCAGGGAACGGAAATAGCCTGTGAAGAGGCTGTGGCGTTCCTGGCTGAGCTCTGCCTGGGCCGAAGGTGTACCTGTCCCGTAGTAGCCGCCCCGGCCAGAGGCACCGCTCTCTAGGCCAGACGATGCAAAGGCCCGGGCCTCGGCCCCCTGGTAACTACAGTTTCGCCCAGCCTGGCTCCCAGGGTGTCCGTGGTGGGGGGCCCAGGTGTTGCCCTTCTCCCCAGCCCACTCAGCACCCCCATCCCCAAAGTTCTGACCCCCAGGGGTCTGTTCTGGGAACAGCGTCCCATTCTTGCGTGCTCGCCTTTTCCTCTTGGGCTTCCCTCCCGCGTCCACTTCTACCCGGCCCCTCTTTCGGGGGTGGCCTAGCTCTGCATGGCCCATGGCCCCTACCCCAGGGGCTGCCACCACCTTCTTTTTCTTTCCGATGCCCTCGAAGAAGTCACTGAAGGAGCAGCGGGCAGCTTTGGCGGCATGGCCTCCCCCCCGGCCACCGAAGCCCCCCGCCTTCCCACCCCGCCGGCGGAAGCCCTGCACGCGGTGTAAGAAGTGGGAGATGCTCTGCGTGTCGGGAGCCTGGTGCACCGACTCCGGCTCGCTGGGGGTCCAGCAGCGGGGCGGGGAGCAGCGGCCCGCACACTGGCTCTGGCGGTTCAGGAAGGCCAGCTTGGCCAGCACGTCCGAGTAGTCGGCCTTGCTGTCATTGGCGTCGGCTGCGTAGGAGGGCTGGGGCGAGGCCAGCTTCTGCTTCCGTCTCCGCCGCTTCTTCACCTCTGGAGTAGCCTCCTTGGGCTTCCCTGGGCCCAGCAGGAGGTTTTTGGGGGGACGGCCCCTCTTGCGCTTCAGGATGATGGGCATCTCGCCCGGCGGGAACACCACGACCACATTGCGCCCATTGTTCTTCATCTTCAGGAGTGGGGTGGGCTCGGCCGACACCCGCACCCCCAGCTCCTTGCCCTCCACATTCAGGCTGCTGCTCAGGGATGACACTTTGTACGTGGTCTTGTTCCGCCGCCCCAGCGACACGGGGATTTTGGCCATCTTCACCACCATCCGGCGCACTCCCCGGCACTTGCCCTTCCGGGTGGGCACAAGGGGGCGAGGGGTCCCGCTATCCGACTCTGGGGTGGGGACTGGGACAACGGCTGGTGGGGGTGGCACAGGTTCTGCCAAGGCGGCTGCCAGGCCTGCAGGCATGGGTAGGGGCAGCAGGCGACCTTCAGGACAGGCATCCGCCTTCCTGCCCCGGCCCGCCTTGCGGCGGCGGCACAAAATCTTTGGCTTATCGGTCCGCCGCAGGGCGTACTTGGGGTGGCCCTCGGACCCCAGGGGCCCTCGGGGAGGGCACAGGTCCAGCCTCAGGGGCTCAGTCAGCGGACAGCTGGCCATGGGTGGCTGCGTTTCCAGGTGGTGGCTTGGGGCCTCAAGCAGCTTAGGCAGAGGGTCAAGGCT